AAGAAGTGAATAATCCAACATCCTTAATCGAGAGTTTTCTTAGATCGAGGTCTAAGATGTAATTAACTACGGGGGCTTGCGCCCGTAGGAAACCGATCCCCACAATCAAATAAACCCCATTCGAGCTGATGTATCGAATGGGGGAAATCTCGTGAACTTTTGGGTTATAGATATTATTATCCATCGAGGTTGGTAGGTGAAAGCCGCTATCCTCCATGGCTAATCGTATCTATAACTCCATCTGCTCTTCCATCGGCCTGTTTGTGTCGATTGTAAACGCCTACGACCATTTTGTCCTACGGGATAGTGTGATCGTACTCTTTGCATTTGAATTCACACGAGCGGAATCCTTTCGGAGACCCACACATAATTCTGATGTTCGTGCATTTGTCTAAGCTGAACATGCCCAAATTTTATAAAAGAGGTTCGAACAACAACAACCACCTTCTTCAAACTCATTTGGACAATATCTCAGTGATCTTGGTGGAGTCGATACAAATCTTCTAGATTATTAGATTGTCATTACTAGTTATTTTTATTTTTTGTTATCCGAATGCATTCTATATTTTGATTTTTTCTATGTATTGTACTTCTCGATATCTTTTATATGTATGAGAATTTTATCTTGATTTTTTTCTTAATGTTATCTTAAATTAATTGATATGTCATCAAAAAATTATCTTGATCAGACACGAATCTCGAGGCAAAAATCAAGTTGGAAACTTCAAAAATTAAATCTGGAATCATTTGAACTCCGATTTCAGCAAACTTATAGTCGAACTGATTGTCCGAAAATAGGAACCCAACGACATCAAATTCGACTTAATCCGAGTTCAAATGAGTCCAAATCAAGGACCCGAAGCACTCTTGGAAAGTTTGAACCACAAATTGAGTTACCAAATGATTTTTAAACATGACATGCTTATAGTCGAATCTAGTGGCTCGACGAAACGAATCCAACGAGTCCAAAATTGTTGAATGCTGACATCATTAAGACCTTCAAATGTCTAACGAATGGTACATGATTAAGGGATTCAATATCGGTCGTCCATTTAACGACTCCCCATTTACCCGTGATCTCTCCCCTATTCACGGGCCATGCCACTTCATAAATCTATAAATAGCCCATCATTTCTCTTGAGAGGGGGACCAAGCAAAAAGAGGAGAAGAGAAGAAGAATAGGAGGGAAGAAACTCCTCCTCGACCACCGTCGAAATTCTGCCTTACCTCCAAGTGACGCCGGAGTTTCACCTGAACTCCAAGTGACGCTGGAATTCTGTCCAACCTTCAAGTGACGCTGGAGTTTCACCCAAATTTCAAGTGACACCATATTTCTGTCCAACCTTCATGTGACGCCGGAGTTTCACCCGAACTTCAAGTGACGCCGGAGTTTTGCCCGAATACCATATAACATCGGAGTTCTCCTCGACTGCCAACTAACGTCGGACTTCTACCCTACATCGGACCTCTGCTCGTCGCCAAGTTTTTACCCGACGTCAGACTTCTGCGTGTTGTTAGATTTTCCCCGAACATCTATCTGATGCTGGATTTCGGTCTATTGCTGGATTTCTACCTGACGCCATCTTTCTGACCTTCGTCGTCAGACAACGACGATCCTTCCGACTTACGTCATCCACCGACTACAGTCCTTCCGACGACCTCCGTCGCCCGCCGACTACGGTCCTTTTGACTTACGTCGCCTACCGACTACAGTCCTTCCGACCTCCGTCACCTGCTGACTACGGTCCTTCCGACCAAACGAACACGTCAATAGTGACTCTTTGTATTCTCATTATGTACTTCATATAATGTACATCAAGCCATGGCCTTCCCCCTAAGGAAGAGCCTTAATTGTAATCAACTACAAATAATAGTGGATCCATTAAAACTAGGCTAGACCCCGTGGTTTTTCCCCATTTCAGGAGTTTTCCAAGTAAAAATCTTGGTGTCTCATAAATGCTAGACCCTCTCTCTTATCTGATTGCATACCGGATTTTTGTACAACGCTAAGATGCTAAATTTTATATTTTTCTACCACCGTGAATACTCCTGAACGTAACATTAATTAATTATGTAAAAAAAAATAGATTTCTATACTTCTAATTTATTATTTCTTAATTAGTAATAAAAAATTTTCTAAACTTGGAATCTTTAAAATTAATAATTAATTTTCAATTTAAAAAAAAAGCGAGTGAATAGTGCGAAGTCAATATTGACGTCACACTGTTCATCCACGATGAAATAGCGTCAAAATTGTCGCTTGGTTGGAGCGACGGAAGAACAACAAACGATTATTTGTCGTTCAATTGGAGATGCCCTAATAAACAAAATAAAATCATAAAATCAATTGAGAACATGCATGAAAAAAAAAATTATCTACAAATTTAATGATAGTTATCATATTATCAACATGTTTTTTTTTTTTTTTTTTGAAATTATAGTTATGGTGTTCAATTTGTATTTTAGCGCACCTGATCCGCTATCAAGTCGCTGGTCAAACTTTTAAAAAATAAAATACAGTACCAGTCGATCACGTAACCCTAACCCTCGATTCCCTCTCGCCTTTTATATCGACCACCCGTCCCTGGTATCTTCTGCCGATCTTTGTCTGCCACCGAAAGTCTTTACCTCCTCCTCATGGGAAGCAAAATGCGGGGTCCCATCATCCGCTCGCCATCCCTAGACCTCGTGGTACCCTCCCCCCTTTGCCGCCTAGTGGAAATGCCGCTTACCGCTTCCGCCGCCCCTGCTCCTGAACTAAGCCAGGACGAACTTAAGCGCATCGCTGCCTACCGTGCCGTTGATCTTGTGGAATCCGGCATGGTCATTGGCCTTGGCACCGGCTCCACCGCCGCCCACGCGCTCGACCGCCTAGGCGACCTCATTCGCCGCGGCATCCTTCGCGACATCGTTGGTATTCCGACCTCAAAGAAAACGGAGGTTCATGCTCGCGCAGTTGGCATCCCCCTTTCAGACCTAGATAATCACCCAGTCGTGGACCTCTCCATCGACGGTGCTGATGAGGTCGATCGCCATCTCAACCTGGTTAAGGGCCGTGGCGGATCCCTCCTTCGGGAGAAGATGATCGAGGGGGCTAGCAAGAGATTCGTTGTCATCGTCGACGAGACGAAGATGGTGAACTTACTTGGCGGCAGCGGCCTAGCTGTGCCTGTTGAGGTTATCCCTTTCTGCTGGAGCTTCACTATGGGGAAGCTCCGGCGGCTGTTCGATGGGGTCCCTGGGTTCGATTTGAGGCTGAGGACCACTTCTGGAGATGAAATGACTCCATCTGTGACGGATAATTTGAATTATGTTATCGATCTGTTTTTTGAAAAGGGGATTACGGGTAATTTGGATGAGATTAGCGATGCGATTTTGAAGATTGTCGGTGTTGTGGAGCACGGGATGTTCTTGGGCATGACAACTTCTGTGATAGTAGCTAGGAAGGACGGCAGCGTTACAGTGATAAATAGGATGGGGGATAGGAGTACCGTGACCGGCTGAAGCTTATTGAGGTTGAGGTAAATTTAATGATTTGAGTAGTGAAAGTTGCGATCTTTGATTAGAAAGGATGGCTGCTTGCGCATCAAAATTTTTTGTTTTTTATTTTTCTTACTGAGTTAAGTGTTTTCTATGCCGAGCGAAACAAAGTTTCAAGTATTTGTCCTTGGAAATTTGTGATTATGCTCTTGAAAAGAAAATTTTTGTACCCTCGCATGCTTCATGCATTACTCCAATGAAGAATTAGTTTTTTTTACATCAATAAACTTTTCTAATGTTTTGCTTGCGTGATTCTTCCTTATGTTTCCTTTCTTTAGATTGTTTTTCCTCTCTTTTTTTCCCCAGTCCACTGGAAAACAGCTAGTGGCTGTATCCAGTTCTGTTTTGCTGTAAAATCAACAAAGCAGTGGCAGAATTCGGTGCAATGTAGCGGCAGCCATAGCAGACCGGCAAGGATTGGGCCCCTTGCGCGGCTGTGGCTATTTTAAGTAAGGAGAAGAGGAGGAGAAAATACAAAAGGAAATAGGAAATTTTATATTAATTTCTTCTGTAAAAATCCTGCCTTTAAATAGGTAATCATATTAAATATTGGTCTAATTTACTTCCTAAACAAATTTCAAAGAGAAAGTAAAAACTGAAATTCATCATTATTTTGTTGTATCCTTATTTTCTTATAATTTGAAATTTGTTTTGGGAATTCAACTTTTGAAGCCTTGAATTTGCCTCTAGACTCCTTTTGACATCCTGCTCTATCTCAACGTTATGATCTCCATATCAGCAAATTTTATGAAAAAAACCAAACTGTTGAAACTAACATGATCTTTTTGATCTGTCTACGAACTGATGCCTTAATCATGAGATGTGATTGATCACCTACTAGATCAACTTGAGGTTTTATCATTTTTTTTATTGGAGCTATTTTACTGTACTGTTCACATATTTTGTGATTTCATTTTCCTTTTGGTTGTGAGAATTGTGGATGGGAACTGAGTTTTATCTAAGAGGAATGCTCTTCTGACCAACATATATTTGGGTCATGCAGCTACTAATTTTTTTAAAATATTTTTTGATGTTTTAATGTTGAGCTGATAAACCCAAGTGAGTTAGGTGTAATTCACAGTAACAAATTTTGTAGTGTTTTCTAATGATTTGTTAAATATTTTTATAATTTATTTAGATCCTTGGTTAAGATGATGATGTTCACTGGACTAGTTTGGAGCTTTGATCGCTTAGGAATAGACTCAAAATAAACATTAACGAAGAATAAAGTGCGAAGGTCTGTCCAAGGTTGTTGTAGTTTAGTGCGTTTGTTTTTGTAAATTGTTTGAGTTTATTTTTACTTCAAAGATCAAGGAATGATGTACGTAATAATTTAAATTTGCAAAATTTTTTATTAAGTACATCAAAATATATGTTCAGAATTGTATGTTTATATTTTAAACTTGAAAATTACTTTGCAAAATACTAAAATATGATTTACTATTGGATTGTACTTGTACATATGATCCTAGCATTCATACAATGTTGATTGATCATATGATTGTGAATCGTGTATATGGTTATCCAACGATTGTCTTGAACTAATCATTGGATATTTAGGTTTCGTTTGGGATAATTTCTTTTCTACTTTGTTTTTATGACAATAATCATAATCTCTATTTGGCCACTATTTTTTTGTTATTTTCAAGAAACTTTTGTACTACGAAGCTTCTATAACAACTTTAAATAACTACTTCATCAGCAGTAGCTTTACAAAGCAGTAAAAAGACCGTCTTTTATTACAATCATATGTATAATGAAACAAAATTCCTTGAAATTTAAAATTGATCTTACATATGATCATCCAATACTTGAGCATAGCGACTAGTTTGTATTAATGGGAATTTTGTGATTTGTATAGATACATTGGAGACAGTTTAAGGATTCACCTTTTGCCTATAAATACCACTTTAACCCCATTTCAATGGCGTTGAAGAATTGGCGAGGTTTTTTAGCAAAAAAATGTAAGATCCATTTTGAGAAGTTTTTGAAGCGTTCATCATCTAGTCTTCTCAGCTCTTAATAAAACTCTTTGTATCTATTAGGTTCCAGTATTTTTATTAGATTGCTCTTTTGTTCTATGTTTAATAATAATCTTTGTGAGAGATTATGTAGCTTTTAACTTGTAGATCAAAGAAAGCATTTACGCACCTCTAATAGCAAAATCCTAAGTGATGAGAAGCTGAGGCATTAATTTCAGCTGTTTGGAGGCTGAACTAGGAGTTAATATTATGCACTATTTGCTCTATAATTTGTATATCTATTCTTACAGAGTTACTAAGTATTGTTCATTCTTGAATATTCTAATGGTGACATGTGTTTAATGTTTCATTTGAATATTTTGTAAGAGGAAACATTATGCTTTGAGCTCTTTAGTTTCATTATCCTAATCTTAGCATAGTAATATTATGATCATCATATTTACATTATTGAGATGCCGATCTATATTTAGGTTTCGTTTGGGATAGCTTTATTACTGTTTCTTAAAGTAATTTTTTGACACAAAAGTTTAAATTTTTACATTAAGAAGTTGTTAAAGAAACAATAAGAAAGCCGTCATAAATGAAATCAATGAATATATATAAAGCAGATGATTTGAGGCTTATTTGACCTTGATGGGTTAGACTGAGAGTAGCACTCATCTTTACCTGGAGTGTTACACTCAACTTGTTAAGAAGATACCATACACTCAGCATTCCTCTATACGAACTTTGAAAGCTCAGTGCAGCTACGGAAGTGTAGGTTGTCTTGTAGCAAAATAATCCCAAAAAAACTTCTGAATCGTTTAGTTAATGAATTAGGCTGAGAAGATAGACAGTTTTGAGGAAAGAGTTGAACCCCAGTATTGTTATTTATACGTCTCTACTTTTCTGAGTCCAGGCAAGCTGTTCTTTGTCCTCTGAATGCTCTCAGACCCAATTACTGCTATGGGTTTTTTGCTGTGCTACTATTGGTATATTCAAAGATTGTAATTTTTGCGCAATTCTTTTGGGCTTCTTCAAGCCAGCCTCATTTTTTTTGAGGCTTTAGATCTTTTTTCTCACATGTAACCTTTTCAGTTGATTAATATACGGGTTCTGCCCAAATTTTTCCCCCCAAAAAAGCAGTGAATGGATGAGGTACTGAGATTTTTTTACATGGAAACTAGAGCTATGACTGATCCCTTTCCCTGAGGTCTCGTGTGCCTAATTGGAGAAATTATTCAATGTGGAGATCGGACGTAGAATATGCCCGGAGACCAATCAGATTGCGTCACGTTAGTGATATCGAGCGATACCGAGCCGCAGTACAGAGCGAAGGGTGACATGATGCATTCTGGTTGGTTTTTAGACGGCGTTCGACGTCCGCACAGAATAATTTCTCACCTAATGGAGTAATGCCCCCATCTATTAAGAGTTCATTTGGGACTATTTTTTTTAGTGATTTTTAAAGCAGTTTTTTTTGTACAAAAATTATATTTTTATGCTAAAAAGCTGCTTTAAGGAGTAAAAAAGTCGCCCCAAAAGAAGCCTAACTCAAGGGGTAATTGATGTAGAACGGAGGGGGGTAATAAAAAATTAAATATATACAATTCCATGTCAGATTTTTCTTAATTAATGAATTTAAATTTGAAATTCAAACAAGAAAGAAGGGAGGGAAGAGATGAATTAATTATCTCCTTAATTGAGATTTTTAATTAGGAAGAAAATCATTAGGATAGAGGGGAGAGAGGGACCGATCAAGTGAGAGGGAAGGATGAGATGCCTAAGTTCATGAATGTGAATGAAGCATTAATTGGGATTGAGAATTAAATCTGAAATTAATTTCAGATTTGGAAGGATTGGTGGGGCTTCCTAAAATGGATTTATTAACTCGGAAATGTTTTTGAAATTCAAATATATTTGAATTCAATTTAAGAAGCTTTTCAAATTAACAATTGAATAATTTAGGAAAGTAATCAAGATGTTATTTGAATTTGAAATTCAAAATTGTGGATGAGGGGGGCCTACAACTTCAAAGAGGAGAGGGATTTAAGAGAGAGAAATTAATGCTTGCTTGAATTAGAATTTTAAATTATGATGGATTGATTTAATTCCAACCCTATTTAAAATTCAAATGGGCTTGAATTTAGGAACTTTTCTAAAATAGGGATTTTCATTTTAGGAAACAAATTCAAAATTCAAATTTATTTGAATATTAAATTAAATTGTTCTCAAAATAAGGACTCAAATTGGATGGTTTTGAATGCAAGATTTGAATGGGTGGAGTCAAGGGAAGAGGGAGGAGGTGTGGATTTCGATGGGAAAGGGGAGGGTTGTGGGGAAGGGGACATGCGCTTAATGGAGGGGATGGGGTTCCCGACTATGAGATGGTGGTGGAGTGGCCGACGGGTGGAGGGAAAGAGGGAAGCTTGGCCGGCAGCTATGGAGGGGTATGACCGACGGTCAAGGGAGAAAGATAAAAGGAGTTCATGGAAAGAAAGATAAAACTGTGAGCCCTCACGCTTCCTATGGTTGATGAGTGATATGTTGCCCTTCACCAATGGACTTCAAGCCACGAGCCCGGACCCATCTTGCGGCTAGTGGATACCACGATTCCCTCCCATAGGGATCTCACTAAAGTCCTCCCAATGAACAAAAGTGTAGAACAATTTTTTTATTAAAGCTCCATCATCCCAATACAATTGCAATAGCTTCTATATATAGGCCTCAAAATGAAAGAAACTTAAAAAAGAAAAACATGCCCCTAGGGCTTACAAAGGACAACTCCCTCAAAAAATGGTAAAAATGAAAAATGCATAAATAAAATAAAAAAATATAATTAGTAAATTAAGATAAAGTGGAATGATCTCGGCCGTTGATCTTCGTCTCTTCCTCAGATAAGCATTCACCCTTGGATGTCCGCATCAATAATTTATTTATTTTTTAATCTATGTTTTCATATATTTTTATGATGTTAAATAATTTTTAATAAAGAGTTCTATTAAAAAATGTGAACCTTATTAGACTAATTCAATCAAATTGAACTCATTGGTTTAAATTGAACCTTCTTTGACATGTCTCTGATGGGTTCATACATGATACGATTTGTAGGAGATTTTGACTTGGCTTTGGTTAACTCTTTTGATCATGAAAGATCAAACCTAATTCTATATGGTTCAAATGACCAAAATGGACTTAGGACCTTCAAGTGACCTAGCAAATAGGCCTTGGAGCTTTTGGTGGATGACTTAAGATTAGCTAAGATACATAGATCTCAATTAGGCCT